AATGACTAATGACTAATGACTAATGACTAATGACTAATGACTAATGACTAATGACTAATGACTAATGACTAATGACTAATGACTAATGACTAATGACTAATGACTAATGACTAATGACTAATGACTAATGACTAATGACTAATGACTAATGACTAATGACTAATGACTAATGACCAATGACTAATGACTAATGACTAATGCCTAATGACTAATGGCAATGACTAATGACAAGTGACGAATGACTATAACAATCATGGGCGTGTAGGTGGTTTTATTTTTGTAGATTGCAACTTTGTATGTAGGTAGTTGGTCGAAAGTAAAAACGAGGCAAACACTGCGAGGGCAATGGACACACTAACAACCAAACGACAAACAAACTGGGAAAATTCTTGAGGCATAGGCGCAGTTGAGTGAAAACCTGTCGAACAACTGCGGCGCCTTTTTGCGTGGTTGTCGGATTGGTATTGTTGTTGTTGTTCATCAATTGAAGCCCAGGCAAAGCAAAAGAAAAAGCCAAAGCAAGCCACTCCGATCTGATCCGTTGCCAAGCTGACAGATTGCACAGTCGCAGCTCGTTTGGAGGCCGTGTGGCAGACACAGCGACGCAGCTTGGCAACAATGCGGATACGTGCCACATATACAAATATATACACATACATATGTATATGCATACACATATATATGTAAGTCTATGTGGCCTAGTCGGGGATCGCAGACGTCGCATTGTTGCCGCTTGCCTCTCGCCTACATCAGATAAGTTAATTGGCCATTTTGGCCCAAAGGGAAACAGCGCAGCCGAGTTGCAAGTTGCAAGTTGCAAGCTGCTGGCTGCCAGTTGCTAGTTGCTAGTTGCTAGTTGCAAGTTGCTGCCAATTGTTGATTGGGGAAACTTGTCGTATTTTGGGCAGGGGGCTGAGGTGGTGGTTGGAACAGTATCTTTGTTAGTTTGGGCCATTGGCCGACAGACCCGCCCGGCAAAACGTGAACAATGCGAGCCACGTTAACGTCGACTCTAACCCAGTGGCACAGTTTCAACAGTGCCCCACTCCCCTAGCACCCCTCGTGCTGCCTCTCCCTGTCGATCGCTGGCCGCATTTCGAGTTCGAGTTCGATTTCGATTTCAATCAATTCGAATGCTCGTTTAGTCTCTGTAGATCAAATTTTTCAATATATTTTCTTAGATAACATATATAGTATGAGC